GGATTCCATGACCTTGGGAATGTTCTCCAAGCTCAGGGACACAGCCCAAGTGCCAGCAGATGTCCCCACACCTGGAGTGAGCAGGTAGGAGCCATCAGGGGTGAAGCTGAGCCTGCGGAAGAACGACTTCATGCTGTCATCGTGGAACATCCGAAAGCTCCTCACCTGCAAGACAGAAATCAGGATTGTGGAAAAGGCCAGCAATGTCCAGCTGCAACTCCTGGACACAAAACATCCACTTGGACACTCCAGCCTGATGGAACTTTTCAAATAAAACCTTTAAAAAGCTCCTTCAAGCTCTCTATAAATTCTTCCCAGCTAAGAAAAATAATCCTTGATCCCTCTTGAGCTGCAAAGCAAAACACTCCCAGAGGTGTCACCTTAAAGCAGCCATCAAAAACCAGCCATAACCTGGAGAACAACATTGTCTAACACCCAGGGCTGCTCAGGCATCCCAGGCTAACCCCAGGATTAGAGGTTGAAAGAGAATTTCTCTCATGGCAAAATGCCTGCTCTCAGGCCTGCTCTTCAGTGTCCATAAAACTCTTACCCATGTTTTCCTCCCAAAAGAAAAAGAATGAATAGAAGGAATTAAGAAAGTTATAGCCAGACTAGAGGTGTTATTTTACTGTCACTTAAAGCTGTTTGGGAGGAAAAAAAAGCTCTTTGTTTTCCCTCTTAGGGTTAGAGTTACCTAAATTATCCCTAATTCGTATTTTTCTTCACAATCTAACTACCTTCATGAAAATTCCAGGCTGTTAGCTTTAAAATATTATTAACTTTAAAATATTATTACTTTAAAATATTATTACTATTACTACTACTGTCACATCTATTAATAAACTCTCAGCTACTGCCAAGGATTTTTGAAGTTTCTCCTGTTAAGAATTGTTTTCTCCACACTATTTTTAACTTTTACAACTGCAGGATTGTGTTACTGCTTTCATCAGCAAAAAATTGTGGGGATGTGGTTTCGGGGTGATGATGGTGGGAGGGGATGAGTGTGAAGGTCTCTTCCAACTTTGATGATTCTACAACACAGGAATTGTTTGGAAGGAAAATGTTTGATCCTTGGGTTTGATGGGACAGGAAGTTGAGATGAAAGAGCCCCCAGCAGGAGCAGGTACCTCTCCTTCAGCTCCCGAGCCCGATGGCATCTTGGTGACATTGAAGGCCACTCGCTTGGTCTGGGTGCTGTAAACTCGCAGGACCCTGTGTGGGAGAGCAGAGTCAGCCAGCAGGGAGTGACAAAATGCAGCAGGGGATGGGAGGGACACAAAAATCAGCCATTGCTGCCATGGCAGGGCCACCAACACCTCCCACTGTCCCAGTGTCCAGCCTGGCCTTGGGCACTGCCAGGGATGCAGGGATGGAATTCCATCCCAGCCCTGCCCACCCTCCTAGGGCTGAATTTTTTCCCCAATATTCCACCTAACCCTACAATCTTTCAGTGTGCAGCCATTCCCTGTGTGCTGTCCCTGCATCCCCTGGCAATTGTCTCTCTCCAGCTTTCCTGGGGCTCCTCCAGGCCCT